TTGTTTGTACCTTTCTCCATCCTTATTGTGGTGGATAATTGGCTGAAATTTAAAATTAAGAAGTCAAAGAAGACAGAAATGCTTATATTAAAATAATTTGCTTAAAATATTTTAAGAGCATGTGGAAATCAGGGGGCTTATTTTTCTGTATTTTAACTGGACATTCTAACAAAATCTATGTGATAAGTATTGGTCCATTATATGGTATTTCCGAAGTAGTATTAATGGGATTTTAAACCAATACCTTCAGGGCTAAGGGATGAGCACCTTTCACTTGAAATAAAGGAATAGCTGCTGCTATTATCTGCTGTAGTAAATTGTTCATGTTGGCCACTTCCCTGAGCTTGATGAAGATTGATACACTGACAAGTAGGCAACGCTAGGGGAAGCAGATATTTCCCACTGCCTGGCACAAAACTGTCATCCATGCAAAATAAAACACTTAATATCATCATTAATGAATGATTAGTCATTTTTTATTATAATCATTCCATAATAATCATTAGTATGAATTAATACTGCCTCGGGGAGCACATGAGCTATGAGGAGTTTCTCTGTGCTCCTCAGCTGATAGGAACAGATTTTTCTGCAGCACATGGAGGTGTTTGGTTACCTGAGCTGCAGCATTTGCCCTTTGTTATGGCACAGACCTGGCACCCAAAATTAATGTGAGGACTGATACAAAGTGTGGGAATCTATAAAATCAGAAGATTTTAAGAAAGTAGGAAAAATACAGGCTTTAGAGACCTGTCAGAATAGAGAAATGCTAGAGTAGCAGGAAAGATATATTAGCAGTAGCGAAGATATGAGGACTAGAAAAATAAGCTTGTGAGGTTTGGCTTTCTAAGTTGCAAAAAGTATATTTTAAGTATACATTTAGAAAGTTAAATATGAATGAGGCTCTGTGCTTGATCTTTTATAAACAAAGCATTGTATTAGAGAAAAAACTGCTATTGTTTTAACTACAGCTACCTGTACTTCAGGTGATTAGATAGAACTATTGTCAATATGCTTTTGCTCTGTGTGGTTAGATGAAACTTAGACTGAGACTGTCTTATGTTATGCTGTAATGTGAAGCTTTTTTAGCATACTTTCTAGTCAATGAGCAGTTCACATCTTTCCTCTCCACTGTTGTAACAATGTAATAAAACTGATACCAGAAAAATAAAAGCTCTAAACCTGATCAAAGTAGCCCCGTCCCATTCGCATCTGTATATAAACTACCAGCGTAACACGAAGATATGGAACCTGTTAATTCCCTATGCCCTGTGTGATTTTTTTCCTTAATTCTACTCCAAAATCAGATTACCTGCTGAAGATTTTTTTTTTTTTGATATGTGCATAGGAAATCCTTGCCATTAATCTCTCCCCCCTGTGTGTGAGCACAAGGCTAGCAGAGCGCCCCGTCCCCAGCTCTCCCACCCCAGCACGGTGCACGCAGGCAGGTGAGGCTCTGCTCAGCCCAGGTGCTGCTCGAATGGGATTTCCTGCAGTTTCTGAAACACCCCTCAGCCCCTTCAAGCTGTGCCTCGTGCAATATTTGCTCAGCTCAGGGAATGCAGAATTGCCCCGACTTGCACGAGAGGCTGGGAGCTGCTCCCACAGAGCTGAGACAGGGGGAGGACCTTGTCAAGGTGCAGGCAGCTTTGCACAGGTGACCTGTTTGGATTCCAACCAATTTCACATCACATTTGGACTTTTTTTTTTTTCTTCCTTTTTTTTTTTTTTTTCTTTACTATATAAAGTACAAAGGAAGGAGCAGATCAAAGAGCATGAGGCACAGGTTTGAAAATGCACATCCATTCACTCCAGGGAAAAAAAGCTTTACATTTTTACATTTCCCTTACATCCCTTTACAGCCTACATGGAACATTTCCCAAACCAATCATTTATGGGTTTTAAGAGTGTTCACAATTCAGGATTTGTAACAGTGAAAACCACCTAAGATTGTTGGCAATTTGCCTGTCTTTATGCTAGCTTTTTTTTCATCTGATGATCTGCGATTCTATGAATTAAAAAGGGGATGTTATTGAGCATGGAGGGAAGGAACAACAAAAACCCCAAAAAACAAAAATACCCCCGCAAAAAAACGCAAAACAATAAAACCACCCCAAAAAACAAAACAAACCCAACAAAAAACCAACCAAATGAACAAAACCCCAAAAACCAACCAAACAAAAACTCAAAAAAACAACCAAACACAAAAACCAAACCACCAAACAAATACAGCGTTAATTTTGAAAGGAAAAAGTATGAAAAAAATTCCACATTTATTGTTACAGAATTTGGTTGAGTTTTTGCCCCCCATAACCAGAATTTTAAATTTCACTTTGTTCAGTTGTTTTGAATTTGAATATAAAATATCTTTTGAGAAAATTATGATGAAATATTTCCATGATGAAATGTTATGCTGTATAATGTATATGGTGAAGTATGTTATTATAAATTTAAAAGCATTTACTGAGCATCTGACATTTTACTTCTTTTTGAAATGACTATGTTTATACTTTCTCAGTTGTGCAAGATTAAAGCATACTCATTAAACACTTACTTTTCAAAGAATTATACAAATATTTTTTATGTCTCACACTCAATGGTCTCCATGATAGAATTGTGGTGATTTATATGAAAAGGAAAACTGACCATTAATGATATCTTGGCATCTCATGTAATCGGTTATCAAAAATTGTTTAGACTGGAATAAAACCTCTTAATATCATATATATCTTGGAAGAGATAATTATTTAACTAAATCATAGAACTACATAAATTATCTTTCCATCTTATCACATTTTTATGTTAAGAGCAAAGTTTTCCAATGTAGGAAACACTTTTTTCATCCTATCAGTCATACTCTACTGCCTTGATGGAAATAGAAATAAAACTGTAATTCTGAAAAGTTATTAATCCATTTGCAGTGCTTTAAAAATGGAAGAATAATTATAGATTTTTATTGGGAGGTTAAAGTGTATTTTATGTTTTGCAGTTTTCTCAGTCACTGTTTCAGTTTGCACAGGTTCAATTTGAGTTTTACAAGCCAGGAAGGAATCAAGGAATATAGCTGAAGTTATAATTTCTGGAAGTTTCATTCTTAAATATTTTAAATAATGAACTTCTCTTTTGTCAAGGTCCTGACAAAATATCAAAGTGTCACGGTTTTGAGGTAAAATTCTAAAAAATTTTCAAGCTTTTCTAAAAAACTTTCAAGCTTTCAGGATTTTCTCTTGTTGGCCAGAAGTGTTACACACTTGGAAATTATTCTGCATTTGTAGTTCAAACACCTTTTCCTAACAGATTAACAATTAATCCTTTTTCAGAAGTATCTTACGATCCATTTCTGCAAGCACTTAAATCAATACCACAAAACTTGGGGCTTGAAATACTTCTGGAAAAGATTTAATGGTTTTGTCTGACCTGCAAGCATAAATTGAAGTTGCCAAATCCAGGATCAAATATTTCTGTGATTGCAAATTGAATTCAGGTTCCATAGAGTTCATTAAAAGTATGTGTTACTTGTTTATAAAGCAGTGTTATTTGGTTCAGTTAATACTATTTTAAAAAATAAAAAAGCAGTTTTAGGAAAAAGGTGGAGGGTATATCAGTTCAACATTTTCATTTTTTAGGAAGCCTATACATAATGAAAAAATGCTGCAAAGGAGTAACAAAATCACTTCTTACAAAACTATCCTCTTAAAGAAATTCTTCCTGAAATTCTATTTAGGCATCTGTTCTCCACAGGGTGTGTTGTACAGTCTTTCTCTGTGGTTTTGATATTTTAAATACAATTTGTTATCCATCTTTTGAGCAAGGATATTCTTTTATTTTGCAGAACTCCTTCAGATTTTTTGGCTTGGGAACTTTGGGATGCAATTGTTGACTTTTTTACAAAAAAAAATTCTTCCAGTTCTACGGCTTTGAGTCTTGTGAACATTTTTCACAGACAGAGAAGGCGTAGGAGCAGATCTGGAGCACCTCCCAACTTGTTCTTGAGCCCTCAGCAAAGCTGTACTGCTTTCAACCACCAAAATTCCCCTGCTCTTTCACTTTCAGTGCCTCCAGCCCAGGTCCCAGCCCTCCTGCCCAGGGCAGTGGCACTCCCTGTTCCCAGCTCAGGGCTCAGGACATTTGGAGTCACTGCCTGCAAGTTCACTCTAAGTCTGACTTCTGTTTCACCTCAGAATATGTCTAGAGTGACTCTCCTTTTCTTTTTTTTTTTTTTCCTTTTTAATTGGAAAATGGCTAAAAGTTCTCCCTGACCTTTTTATCTTGCTGGCAGTGCCCCTGCCTTTCTATTAATACCAGGCTTTGGGGAGTGTTTCGTCTGCACTGGCAGCAGAACTGCTATTTCTTACTCAGTTTGGTATCTGCAATTACAGTGCTTTTCTGAAGTGCAAAAGACATCTATAAAAATCAAGCCCATCTCCCTGCTTAGCATCAGGCACAGTGCAGCAGCTCACTGCTGCTTCCAGCTTACATTAGGCTTTCCATCTTTCCTTCAGAAACCTGCAGTGATCATCAGCAAAGGCTGGCTGTGAGGTGAAGGACCCTCAGTGAAGTGGCAGGAATAAAGCACAGCATCAGAGAGAGCACTGAGCTGGGCCTGAATGTTTGCTGGGTCTTGGTTAAGACATTCAGGTCCTTACAGTATCCTGTATTTTCAAGACATCTGTATAGAGAGATGTTGTCATTATAGTGCAAGAGTTCTATTGTCATTACATTGCAAAGGTTCCATATTGCTAGAGTTTCAACCTCCTGGGTGTTTTTTGCAAGCAGCTCCTCTAAGCACTGCCTCTTCCTTGTCCTCACAGTGATCAACTGAGTCCAGTTCCCCTCAACCAACCAATCCACTCTTTTATAACACTCTTCTTATTGGCTACAGCTGTGGCCTGTTAACATCAGGTCTGCTCTTAATCCTTAATAATTAACCCAGCTGCAACTCTTTAGGGGGTAAGATTACATTTTATACTTCCTTTATTTACTTATATTCTATTGTTCTACAGAGAGAGATCATCCTTGAAGACAGTGCTGGTGGGAAGCTAGAGAAGGAATGCCCTTCATTTCCTAGGCCCTGATTTCTTCCTTTTGGATGGACAGTGCTGGTGAGGCTGATTTCCTGTACCTGCTCTCCATGTGGTCTTCAGGGCTTTCAAGAGGTCACTTGATGTCCTGGAGTGTCCCATAGATAAATAAGTGTCAGTGGGTGGCTTTAAACACGAGAGGCTGTTGTTGGTGCATCAGGGAGCATCTGCAATTTCAGGGTACTCCCTGGGAGGGTCAGTGATATTCTCACTGTGCTCTCTTGACTCAGGTTTGCAAAAACTGCTGCTGGTCACAACTGGCTGTTTGTCTTGCCGGGCTCAGCAGTGAGTGACCTTGCATGCAAAATTTCAGGCTGTCAATAAATTACAAGCCCATTTTACTCTTTCATCCAGTGTCTCTCTCTTCCCAGAGGGGCTTTCTTTCCAATTCACCCATGGGGGAACCTCTCTATTCATGAACAAAACTTCCACCATGTCATGCCATTACACGGTTATTTTGCTCATGTAGGTCCACAGTGTTTTTTTATGGGAACAGAGAGTTTCTGAACAACCTTCTTAGAGGGAGCCCAATGTGCTTTGCTCTCATCCCACACCCAGGCAGTCCCTTAGTGGGGAGCAAAGGTGCATTAACAGGTCCCCAAGATTCCTGACCTTCCAAGCCCAGCACTTTAGTCCAGGGGCTCTGTCCATCCTTTGGTTCCCCCCCAGCCTTAGAGAAAACCACACAGCCAGTGGACCTTTACTCTCACCCCAGAGCTGGTCCCATCTCCAGCAGCACTGCAGCATCCCTGTCCTTTAATCCCATGAGGAGAGGCTGGTGCCCACTGCCTTCCCACCTGCCTGCTGCTGGCAAACAAGGCAAATCCCAGGAGGGCAGAGCTATGGATGCAGTGGCTGCAATAAGCAGTGAATTGTCTGTGAACCTGCTCTGACTGAGCCTCTGCCTGCTGATAATCTGCACAGAGAATTTGTTTGCTTTGCTTTGGGTTTGTGTTTTCCACCAGCCTCTTGTTTTCTTCCATGAATTCCACATCGCCTCTTGTGTTTTACCTTTCCTGGCAAAACTGTTTCTCCTCATGACACACAGCTCTCCCCTAGGGCTGGTTATGTAAGGTATTGCTGCTTGGTGTTTGTACAACCCTACATCTTGATCCCCTGTAGAGAGCACATTGTGTATCCTACTGGCAGCAAACAAAAGCAGTTTCCTATATAAAATACACAAGTCTTGCCTCTGTGCCTGCATGTTTAGGCAAACACCCTCCTGCTTTTCGGGACACAAAGGAAGAACACGATCAGTACCTGCCATTCCTGGTGATGTGTGGATCCAAATGGTAAAAAAAAAAAAATAAAAAAGAAAAAGGGGGAAAAAATTCTCCTTATAAGGAGGAAAGGCTGCTCTTCTCTAGTCTGTGTTGTATATATAACTTTCACACTTCACACTCTCATGCCGTTTTAAATGCAAACAGCTCTTCCAGCCAGCAGCGTCACAGTTGTTTCAAGGACAAACACATTTGTTTTGTCTTTAAATGAATGTATTCATCCTGAGTGGCAGTGGAGGGGCTACCTCTTTCTCAGGAGGCTCCTTGAGGTTCAGCTAGTGAGATGGAGTAACACTTCTGTTAAAAGGGAAAGAGCCAGGGAAAAATTCCGCCTCCCAACCCCCCAGCTCCAACTGATCTGAGCGTTTGACACACTCCCATTGTGGGTAAGGTGTAGGTGTCCTTGCAGAGTAAAAAAAATTATAAATACCTGCTTTCCTCATTATCTTTTCCTCTCAGTGCCTGGGTGATTTGTGCCTTCCCCTCTCCTGCCTCCAGCCTTTGCCTAGACACAAGCTTTATTTTATGTATGACTTTGGTCATACAGGTGATGGACTGAGCCACATTAACTGAGCCAGAACTGCAGCTATTCAAACTCTGCCTGTTGCGGTGGGCTGGGTTGGGTTTTTGGGGGCAAGGGGGATGTTTATCCTGAAATATGCAATGTGGTTAATGCTGGTGACTACCTACATGACAGCCAGGTTGGCCACAGGGCCTCTGAGCAGCTTGGCTGCATCCCCTTGGGGTGAACATCCCTGTGAGCCCTTGGGATGCCCAAGCACAGAGTGCATCAGCTTTTGCTTAGACCAGAGTGAGCTGATAAAGGCAACTTGTAGGATTTCCTGCTGCTTCCTTCGGTTTTCTAGGTCCAGAACAAGAACAGAGGGGTTTCTGAGCCACTTTATGGAACAGATGTCAGGGATGAGAGGATGTCTGGGTGATGCTCAGTGTCAAGGTCAAGGGAAGGCCTGGATTCAAGGCTGGTTTGCCCTGGGGGAAGGAAAGAAGGAATGGCCCTGGCTAGCTGGATGGATTTGCTGTCTCTCAAAGAGGGGATTACTAAGTGAACAGAAGCTGGGTGGTGCAGAGGTGAAGGAGTTTGGTAAAGCTCTGAACATGTGGGGAAGGCCAAGGCTGGCAAGGATGAGTGCAAAGGAAATAATTAATCCTTAATGAATGTGTGAGTGGGAGGCTTAAGGGGATGGCTGAGGAGGGATGGAGCAATACCGGAGAGGGAGAGGTTGGGAATTCAGTGAAGTAGCAAAAGAGTTACACAGAGTAAAACACAAAACAAAACTTTGCCTTGCCATTACTGCAGATTGCTCCATTATTTTCCTACCCTGTCAAACACTCCCTGTAACAGCCTCCAGCTCCTGGCCTACCTTCCAGTTTCTATCCTACAGCAATGTTTCCCAAACTGCAAGGTGCAGCCCCTCCAGGGGAGGAAGGGGGCCCAGAGCCCAGAGAGAGAACGAGAGATGCAAGAAGCCTGTGAGTTCTTGATTCATTAATTTTGCAACCTCATTCAGGCTCCCTGTCACTGAAATCAAGGCCCTCACAGGAAATATTCCAAATCATTCATTTTCATCCTCTATCTAAAACCAAACACATAGCAACAACAACAACTATATATATACATACATACATACATACATATATATAATTTTTCTATTTTATATATATAAAAGCAGTTAGAGGCCCTTCTGACCAGCCCAGTTCCTACCAGTTCCTACACCTGCTGGAAGGTGTCAGAGCACCTGTGCTGTGCTGGGGATCACCTGAGTGCCTCTGAGCCACACAGCCATGCTGCTGGTGTGGATTCTTGAGCAGACTCCTGGCAGCAAAGCACTGTCCTCTCCCATCTGCACTCCCTCTCCTGAAGGTGATTGTGGCTCTCCTACCATCCCTAAAGTTGTTTTTTTTCCCCCTCATTTTTAAATCACAATCCCCTCTCCATCCCATATGACATCTCATGTGACAAGATTAATCATTAGATCTGTGACTTTGACTCCTTCATTTTTCTACCTTCATGTTATAGATCTGTTAGAAATGTCTTGCGTGTTTCATTGTGTTGGGAGTATGGGATTGTTAAATTTCTACTATCCTGTTCTGCTTGAGGAAATGGAAACTTGAATACATCAAAGGTATCGGACCCAGTTAGTGTCAGGAGCGAGATCTGTGTCCTTTTCCACCAGCACTCATTGCTTACAGACATGCAGTGAAGTGTGGCTTACATTTCTCCCACTTGTCTCCCGTATTTTTGGAGTGTCAGATCTGATAGACCCTTCAGGCATTCTGCTTTTCCACTTATTTTCCTCTCCTTTAAATTCAGCGCAATCCTGGCATTGAGACATTCAGTGGGTTTGGTGGGAACACATCAGAAACGTTCTCTCCGTTCAGTGCCCGCTTCCATCTGCCTCTGCTTGAAGGAAAATGTTCCTCCACATGTTCTCCCCCTGCAGCCCCATGAGAAGGGGTGGCACGTCTCGCTCTGGGTGCTGCTCACTCCTGCCCTGGCTGTGGCAGTGCTCAGGGGCAGCAGGACCTGCAGAGGAGCAGCCCCTGGCAGGCGGCTGCTGCTGCACTCCAGGGCCAGTTGTGCTGCTCCACACAACCAAAATCTGCCTGCAGGAGGAAAAAACCCCACAACTTTGCATAAGTGCTACTGGGAACAAACCCAGAATGGGAAACCAAGCAGCTGATTTTTTTTTTTTTTTAATACATAAATTTTCTGCAGAACTGTGTGTGATCTCCCACCTGCTAATCACAGATTTCTTACATGGGTGGAAGGCAGATTTCAGTTCTATCATCATTAATCTGGAGCAACTGTATTGATGATCTTACAGGGAAGATTGATTTGGGTTTGTTTTCTTTCTTAGCTGTGAATCTGAAATGTCATCTTAAATGGAAATTTCTTTCTATATTTAGGATATTTTTTTCAATACTTCCAAGAGAATTCTGGGTTTTTTTAATCTTCTATTCCACTCAGATTCTGTTGGCTTTACTAGCAATCATCTGTCTGTAAATTAATTCTCTAAAAGGTGATTTTGTCTTTTTTTCTTCTTTTTTTTTTTTTTTGAAGATGTGAGATAAAGTTTTGGTCTAGAACAGCACTTGTATCTGATCCAGTGGCTACCCCACATTCAAACACAAGGATTGCATGGGATATGAAAATCCTCCGTGGTCAAGGAAACCTTGGATGTGGATCAGGCTTCTAGATCCACCTATAATGAGTTTTTTTTTGTTACATTGGCCCAAAATACTGCCCCTGACAAGTGACTCAGAAGTAGAATTTCACAGCACAGGCTCCCTCACCTGCTGTTAGCCCCAGTCACTGCCAGCTGGGCACCCTCAGCTACACTCAGGTGTCTGAGACATCCTCCCGCCACCCACCCTGCTTCTGTCCCACTTCTCTGTGTCTCTGAGGATGAGCAAAAGCAGCTCCAGAGACCTGGAGTGACCGTGGTGATTTTCTGGAAGTTGGATGTCAGTTTTCCTTTACCAGCCACTGGCAACTTGGCCAGAGATCACAGTGGATTAAAAGCAAAGAACTTTTTTCTCCTGTCCCCATCCTTAACAGGCAGCAAGGGACTCACATGCTGCTTTCTCACCTCTGGTATTGCACAGCTCCTTAGAGTTTCCAGTAATCCCTGATTTCCTCTGCCAGCAGTGACAGATGGGAGGCTGTGCACCCAGTGATGGACTGTGGGAGTGTTTCATTGATATCGTGGGAGAATAATTGCTTTCCCTAACTTATGGAGTTATGGTTGTTTTTGTAAATTTTTTTTCTGCTTTTTCTTTCAGATATGCACCAAAGAACAGCCAATGGGAGGAAAAGACAGAACTGAAGGCATGTGGTATTTTCCTGCTGTTTGAAGTGGATCTTAGACAATTTGTGTGGCTGTAGGAAGCCCCATGGGCCACAGGTTGCCTGCTTTTAAAATGGGCATCATAATACTGAACAAGGCCAAAACACCCTGAGCAGCTTGAGTGGAAAGCACTTAAAGGCTGGGCAATGGGCAACTGCAACATTTGCCTCAGAAAGAGGCCATATGCTGTCCTCTCTGCTCTGCACTCTGCAGCTCTGGCCGTGGAAAATAAATACAAGTGAAGATCTCTTTTTTCTGGTTTTGATTGCCTCAGGATCAGTCCTTGTACCTTGAATGGCCTCATGAGGTGTCCCAGCCTGTGTGACTCTACGAGCAAGGGATGCTCTGAAGGACTGGGACTTATGAAACATCAGCAACACAACAATAAAGCAAAAATAAATATAGAATGAAGTGCCAGGGGAAATCCTCTCTTCTCACCTGCCTGCAGAGGTGTTATTGTTGCTGCCCCTGGAGCAGGAGAAGGGAGGGCTGAGGGCTCAGCACTGGGCTCTGCTGTGGCTGCAAGAGCAGAAGTGCTGGGGCTGCCTGGGCAAGGGGAGTGAGCAGACCCTGCTCTGGGGAACTTGTCCAGCCAGAAAGGCCAAACTCCACCCCACAAACCTGGATATTTGTGCTGGCTAAACAATATGGCTCCCTCATAGCCACGCCAGTAAAACATACAAAAAATCAATTTCTCTTATTAGCTGCATAAATACAAATTCAAATTTCTTATTTGGGGCAGTACAGCTAACCTCAGGCATTCCACTATCCAGTGATAAACTTAGAATCACAAACCCTCCTAAATTAATCCTCTTGATTTCCAATTTTTAAAGTATAACCAGGCCATATTTTCTTGGTTTTCTTTGTGTGAAAGCTAAATACTCCAAAGTTCCAGAAGGGAGGCGTGCAGGAAGATACTCTTCACTCTCTGGGGCTGGGGCTGTGAGACCTCCCCAGAAGTTGTAAGGCTTGTGTTAAACCTGAGAGGTGACAGGATCTCTCTGATGTGACATCCAGATGGAAAGTGGTTGCCAGGGTGACACTGAAAATGGAGCTGGGCCTGATCCCTTCCCTCTGCAGGAGCAGTTCCCTGGGATAGGCTCAGAGGGAGAGGAATGTGCATGAGTGGGGATTCCTGTGCTGCTGGGGCACTCTTGTGCACTGGAGGCATCATCTGGGAGAGCCCAAACATGCAGGAGAATGGGTTATGGGGGTGTTGGGGGTTTCAATCCTAAATACAGAAGCCTGAATTTTGGATTTGGAAAGTAAAAGAAAGAAAAGCATTTCTCCTTCCCTCATCCAGCACCTACTTGGATCCCATGCACCTAAGCGGTCTCAGAGCAACTGAAATATTTGGGTTCAAATGTAGAAATGTGTTTCAGACCCCAAATCTCCAGAAATACATGGTTAAGGTAACTAAATTTAAGGTAACTAAATTTCATATGATTTTAAAGGTAACTAAATTTCATACGATTGCACTTTCATGTGCAATCATATGAAATTTAGTTACCTTAAAAAAAAATCCCATAAATGTTTCCTTTGGAATCATTCTCTTTGGAATCATTACCAAGCTTTTCTACATTTTGAATTCATTTTAAATGAAGGCTTTTGCCTTGGATTGTTTGTTTGCTTGTTTGTTTGGGTTTTTTAGTGAAAAATCTTGAGGTATATTTTCCTTTTTAAAGTTATTTCTCTGCTCCTTGGCTAAGAAACTCAGCATTTGCTGAAATTCCTTAGGAAAGGGGCTGCCCTGCCTCCGAGGTGATTTACGCTGACAAGAATGTTAAAGGATTACAGATGACTGTAACATACCTGCCTAACATTAAAATCAGGTTAATTGCTTACATTTCACTGCGAGTTATGGATGGCTGCAGAGCTGGGTGCTTCAGCAGATACTGGGACAGCAGGGGGTGGTTATTGATAGTTAAATTGCAGTGGAAGTTGTCTGTGTTCAGATGGGACCTCTTTGAGGGAGGACAGAACATTTCTCAAAGCTTCATATTTTCCCAGAGGGACTTTTCCAGCAGAACATGCCTGCTGTTCAAAGGAAATATTCCCCGTGCGAGCAAATGAATGGAGAAGTTAGCTTTACAATAGACACCCTATGAGGGGGGCTGAAGTGAATGAGCCCAGCTACATGTGTTTTTGGAAAGCTAATAACAACCAGAAAATTATCTGTGGTGCTCTGTAAGGCAGCCTCTGCACGGGAGGCTGCTGCAAAACCTGCCGAAGGCAAGAGGACAGAGGCATTGAAAAGGGATAACTGGGGAGTGATGCAGCAAAAATCCAAGGTAGTGAATCTTTGCAGATTTAATTGACAAATTTAAATGCCAACTTATTTTACTGTGTGTCTCTCTGTCTCCCACTCATCCCTTCAAGTTTCAAATGAGATTTCAAGTGGCAGGTAGGGATTCTGCCCCCTCCCATGAGCAAACCAGGGGATGTGAGGACAATGGAAGGGACATTGCTGCCATGGATTTTCACAGACATCTTTTATGAAAAATTCTTTCCTTAGGATTTTCCTCTTGAAAAGCTGAGAGGCCTCAAGAACAAAATGTAAATAATAATTATCTGCTGCTGTGGAATGCAACAGGTGCATCTGTGATTGGTCTCATGTGGTTGTTTCTAATTAATGGCCAATCACAGTCAGCTGGCTCAGACTCTCTGTCCAAGACACAAACCTTTACCTTGTTATCATTCTTTCTTTTTCTATTCTTAGCTAGCCTTCTGATGAAATCATTTCTTCTGTTCTTTTAGTATAGTTTTAATATAATGTATGTCATAAAATAATGAATCAAGCCTTCAGAAACATGGAGTCAGATCCTCATCTCTTCCCTCATCTTCGGACCCCTGTGAACACGGTCACAATGGATAGATCTTTGTGCCAGTGCTTCAGCACAGGGTCACCGCCTGCCCACAGCTGCTCTGCCCTATTCAGTCTCTGTCCTGGAGGAGGCAGGCAGAGGGTTGAGAAGATAATTTGGGTTTTTTTGGGGTCCCTTTCCGTTTGTCCCACAAAATCAGCCATCTCCAGGCTCGTGGTGGGTGCTGAGTGAAAGAAAAGCAGCATGATTTCAGGAGGTGCTCATGTAGAGCATCCTCCCAGCCCTCCTGTCTGCCCATGTGTGCCTGGAGAAGGGTGATTTTCCTGGCCTGATCTGTCAGCACAGGTGATATTCCCATAATAAACACTCATGCTAGTTACACAAGACATGTTGACTGGTTTATTGTACAGTAATTGCTGCTCTTGCAGGACATCCACCCACTCGGACTGTGAGCATAGGCTCCAGGCTTTTCTCAAAAACATCTGATTTTATAGAAAGTTCTAGAATCTGATTTTGACAGTATTTGCAGTCTAAAAGAAAGCAATGCAAACTTCCCTTTTCTGCCCCACATTCAGGCAGACTTTTTAGGAAATGCAAAAAACTGTAAAGGAACCCATGAATACAAAATTGAACACTGCAATCAGAGAAGCCAGCTCTCCTAATGAGGTTTTGTTTAACCAATGACAATGTGATGAGAAAACCAGAGGAAATGGGTCAGCTAAAAATCTGGTACTACAAATGCCTGGTGTAATTTCCCTTCACTAAAAGGGATGTCCTTCTGAAAGGGCTGGATAAGGAATCATCCCCTGAAGACCTGCAGCTAATTTGCAAGACATGGATGAAATGACTGGAGCGTTGGGACTGGAGAGTGATAATGTGACATATCCAGAGTAAGATGGAATCACACCACACAGCTTAATGAGGAAACACTTGGCGTGGCTCAGTAATTAGCGGGGTTGTTTCAGCACTCAAAAACCAGTTAACCCATCCTTAATGGCATAATTTCACAGCTCCCTTAAACCAGGAATTAGCCAGGGCTCCTGTCAGGAGAAGTGATGCTTTCCAGTCCCAGCTGTGAGATTTTGCCCAGTGCCATCTCCCTTCCCAAGCACAGGTTGTGCCCTGAACTGGGGCAGGGCACTGGACAGGTTTAAGAGGAAGTGTCTGTATGAGTTAGTTTTGACTTTTTCCACTTCTCCAAACCACTTTGGTGCAAAGGTTTGTGCCAGCTCGGGTAGAAGGAGGGTGTGGGTGAAGGAAGAGGTGCTGAGGGCTGATGGCACTGCTTCATTAGTGGTGCTGCTTGTCTGTGTAGTCTGAAAGGATCTGTGAATTTGTGCCCTCTTGGCTGGACAGGGCTCTGAGCAACCTGATCTTGTTGAAGCTGTCCCTGCTCATTGCAGGGGCTTGGACTAGTCGACCTTTAAATGTTCTTTCCCGTCCAAGCCATTCTATGATTCTGTCATTAAAGACTGTGATGTACAGACACTGCTGTTCACCTTCCAAGACCTGATCCTGGCATCTTCATGCAGAGGTGTATTAAATCTCCCTCAGAGAAAAACCTGAGGTTGCTTCAGGCCTATTAGTGCCTCAAAATTCTTAGTGGCTCTTGTACCTGGTCTCAGGCACAGCTGAGTTAAAAGCCTACACCCCCGATTCTCTTGCTCCCAATGCCTAAAATTGTGTTGTCAATGCACAAGTTCTTACACAACGTGAGGATTGCATTAGGGGAAGATTTTGCTCTGAGTTCAGATGCTGCCTTCCAAGTATGGGGAGCATCTGCATCATCAAAAAGTAAAGCCAAGGATGAGATAGCACAGGAATTATTTAATATTTGAGCCAATAAAAACTGCATCAGACCATCCCAAAGAAATATTTGTGCTGTTAAAAGGGAGAGAACAACCAATGGTCTGGTAAAAGGAAGATGTAAACCTTCCTGATTAAAGATAAAGGAAATCTCCTGGAGAAAAGAAAAAGCTGAATAAATCTTCAAAGAGAGATCCCGCCAAAGAGGGATCTCAACTGCACAGGGAAAGCCAAATTCCCAACATTTAACACTTCCTGTAGTGCAGAGAGGATGGAAGCCTGACAATCCCATAAGAGATCTTCAGCTAGTAAGACCAGGGAAGAAAACCTCTAAAAGTGATCCCAGACACAAAATTCTCACATCAAATACTCACATCAAAATTCTCACATCAACTACAGTTCTGGACCTCTCAAGACAAGAAGGATGTTGAGATGCTGGAGCATGTTCAGAGAAGACAGCAGAGCTGG